TGGGGCGGGAAGTGTGAGGGAGATACAGACAGTGCGTGCTTCAGGGTACATGCGACAAACATTTCGAAAGGAGACGCACACACCCAATTGTACTCCCCTTAACAAACAGAGAGAAAGGGAGAGCCATTGATCGATCGAAAGAGAGAGAGAAAAAGAGAGAAAGAGAGAGAGAGAGAGAGAGAGAGAGAGAGAGAGAGAAAGAGAGAAAGGAGGGGGTTAGGGAAGGAGGTCACATTGTGCGTGATTGCTGCTCATAAGGAGAACATTACTGAATGGGAATGAAGCTTTACCCTCTTATTTGGGTTTTCTAACCCCCCCCCCCCTCTTTTGACAACCAATTTCATAATACTATTATTACTTTAAGGCTAATGATTTTTTAAAAGAAACATAACTAATTGCAAAATTTGTCTTCGCCCCCTAAAAACCCGAAACAAAACTAAAAAAAAAAAATCCCACCTATAGTTCCAGCCTTTCTGCACTCTCCTCCTGTCCCTACGTTCACGGCTTGCGTTTGCGTGACGTGCGTGGGAAGGTTAATTTTGTCGCACCCCACGGCCAAATCAATTTGATGATTGGCAAACACGTCATAGGAGTTTCAGCGATATTCGGCTTTCACAGAGCTCAGGGCAAGTTCAAAGGCTAGATGATTGGACGAGTAATACAACCCTGGATTATCTCAAATGAAACAGTTCCGGGACAGGGGACAAGGATTATTGCGATGTTTGGGGCAAGGGAATTGCGAGGTTTGGGTTGGGGGAGGGGGTGGGGGTCAGCATCATTCCCTTATCCGCCACGGTCTGATTACTATATCGATATACATTCGAAACTGTCTAAGACGGTCATCAGTTGTCAAGGTAGCTGTCTTACACAATGTCGTTAAAATAAAAAATAAAATACGCAAGAAAGGAAATGGAAAGTGATCGTTTGTACTGGAGATCTTCTTATACAGGTGCTCGTTAGAGCAGGTTCGACTGTATTTTTGAAGAATGTGATATTCTGAAACAATTTTTTAAACCTAATTGTTTTCTGTAATAAATCGTAATCTTCGTACCTATTTTGACCCGAAGAATACACACGATCTTTGTCAAGGAGAATCTTATACAAGTATGTCATCAAACTCACACCCTGAAAAAAATGTTTCCAATTGATCAAGACAAAAAAATAATTTACATATCTTGAAAAAAAATAGCTGGTGAAATAATAATACAACCATAAGTAGGTCGTCGGACATCTGTTCAGATGCCCAACATTTAGATAGTAGTTGTTATTGCATTCTCTTAATTGGTGCTATCTATTGCATGAGCTCAAGAAATATTTTGTCAAAATGTATATCTAAATGTTGAAAAAAAAGCAAGAAAAGATACATGATGTAAATAAATGTGAAACAGTGTCTTAATTGCTCTTAAAAGTGTTTGCTTCCTAAACTAAGTACATAGCAACATCTTGCTAGTGATGCTCAGCTATGTAAAATATCAAACCAAACAATATCAAAGCATTCAAAGACGAGCGATCTATACAAATTTACGTAAGCCATTGATACACAGCGATAACGCAAAATTGACCCTGATAATATTAATTTCCATTGACTCGGCCAGCAGTTGAGCAATCTGTTAAAACCTCAAATTTGGCTCCATGCGCTGTAAAGGTTCCCACGTTGATTAAGTTCCGTGTTCCCAAAAAGGAACGCGTGTAAACAAGAGGAAGCGTTATCAATGAGACAGGGCCAGCTCTTCGCTGTTCATTTCTTCCTTCCATTGCGGCTTGCTCTCATTTATGGGAGGGTGGAATTTAGACATGCCCGGAATTTCCATCCACTTTCGACAATATATGCAGACTCTACAATGCCTCTAGACTGACAGCCAAGGCAATGATTCGGTGAGTCAGAGCAGTACTTCTCGCGGACGGTTCAACAATTTCAAGAAAAACACTGCAAAATCGGGAAGAATCGGGAATCGGGGAGAAAGCAATCCATTTTGTTATAAAGAAGCTATAACAAAAAATCTGACTTCCCAAAATTGCAAATGATAACCTGGAAGTAAAGAAGATATACGTAGGTTTTACTTTGAAAACATACTTGCTGAAAACTTAACAGCAGAATAATAGCAGAACGTCAACAACCAAAACGACTGGGGTCTGTGGTGTAGCGTTTAAGAGCCTTGCTGTTGCACACAGGGGACCCGTGTTCGATTCCTTAGTGGGGAGAGTTTTATTTTCTTGAGTATCTCGGTGTTTCTAGTGGAATGTTGTATCCCTCTCAGTCCGGATAGGCTCTGACAGGAAGGGTCGGGAACACGCTTTTTAAATTATCTAAAACTGTATAAACAGGGGCGTTAAAGGACCTAATAGACTCCCCCCCCCAAAAAAAAAACAAAAAAAAAAACAACCCAAGATAAAGGTATACCAAGTATACGCTCTGATGCAGGTAAGGCCCAGACACAGAACTCACACAAGGAAAAAAAGTCCACCAGCGGTTCCATTTGACGCGGCTGAAAGAGTTGTGGAATAACACGCCCAGATATGATTACCAGCTTAATGGTTCTGAAAAGGTCAGGGGATCTCAGGATATTTTTACTGCTTAAGCAACCGGGGCTTCAATTACTAGATTACCTTTGCTGCATGAAAAAAAAAAAGAAAAAGAAAATACAAAAGGCCCATAATCGTCTTAGGAGAACTTCAGAACTGAAAAGAGAGGAACGACTAATTCTTTCCCAGACTCACAAAGTGCCGGAAAAAATGACTTGGCTACAACAGAGATCAGATATAAAAACATTGGAACAGAATATGGTAGAAAACTACAGTAATGGCAGAGGGTAGCAGTAGCCAATAGTTGTCCTCAGATGAAAGAAACAGACTTATGAAGCAATGGTATATATAAAACTCCCGTAGTAACACGCGAGGAGTCAAAGTAAAGAAAAACTGTCTTTCCTTGATGTCATTTCACTTATTGACCTATTCGTAGTTAGCTGCATGTGGTAGCGTCACAAATCATAAAAAGATCAAGAGATTTTGATCAATACAATCGTCTGATACGACCACAGACTTGAATCACCATAATTAATAGACTAGACCGGGCACTGTCATGGCCGTTGCACTTTGCTCATAAAAAAAAAAACTTCGCTAGGAAGCGTGAGCATCATCGTCATGGGCTCCCAAATGAAGGGCAAAACGCCAGTCTCGCTATAGTCGAGTGGGCACGGCCTTTTTGCCCCGCTTTGTCCTGCATTGCGCGTCTACTGGAATCGTCTAGTGCTCTCTTTTGTGAACCGGAATTACGTCAGAGTGAACAATCTAGTACATTAGTGTACACGTCTATGGGTATGACGCAGTGTCTACATGCAATTCGTGAAGCAATGACGTATGTCTAGGAGCTAAAAGGGGAATATAAAAAGCATAAAATACAATTTCAGATCTTATTTTTCCTATCCCGCGGGACATTCTCTTTCATCTATTGAAAGTGGCCTACTCTTGTAACAATAAATTATGGTTCATAATCTAACAGCATTTTATCATAATTTGAAATATCTCATGACAGAATAACGATTATACTCCTCATTCTAAGAGGGAGTAAAAGCGTATAGTCCTGATAGTCCTCTTTGTATAACCCTCTCCCCCTTGTATAACATACAACAAGCTAACGGTTATTGACTTCTATTTTCTTTCGGTAGAAAATTCACTGCACTCGGAGCAATATTTTCCAGTGGCCACGACTTTTGTGACTCATTATTTTTCTTTTGTTTCTTGTTATTTTGTGATTAAAGAATTGTGGAATATTCGAACCAAAATATAATGAAAACAATTTATTTTACACCTATTATGTTTATATGTGACCGCTGCAAGGGGCAATGGGGCCCAATTCAAGGCTGTTTAAGAGACGAGCTTCTTCGATCCACTGGCCAGGTCAAGCACAAGCTGGGCCCCCACAGAGAGGTAGAAATACAGGGTAAAGTAAACATCCCCACATGGGAATGGAACTGGCATATTTTAAGCGATGAGCCGAGCTATTGCGCCCTCGACGATGGTCCTCTAATGTTAGCAGGAATAACATTTATTGGAGGATATCCATAACTTACATTCTTTTTTTATAGTAGAGGGTTTTACGGCTCTCGCAACTGCATAAGGTCATATGAGCGCCAAGGGGTGGGGGTCAACAAAGAAGTCTTTATAGGGAATCAGACTTAGACTACTCACCTCTTTAGCTTCAACAGCACAAGATCTGCCTCGACTATCAAGGCATCCAAAATAGCAGGTCACAAGGGAGTGACAAACATACAAAAGAAGTACAGGAAAATGAC